TCTACGCCATGGTAGGGGATGGGAGGGAGGGGTAGGACGTCAGATATGACGCGAGCGCACCTAGCTTGTTCTCCTCCTCTTCCTCTTCCTCCTTCGCCTTTTCCTCCTCCACCTCCTCCTCCTCCTCCTCGTCCTCCTCCTTCTCCTCCTCCTCGTCCTCCTCCTCCTCTTCCTCTTCCTCCTTCGCCTTTTCTTCCTCCTCCTCCTCCTCGCGCTGCCGCAGGTGTTGCTGCTCCCCCTCCTCCCTCCTTCCCCTCCTTCCTCCACCTTGCAATGGCTAGGCTCGGTACACAACACTTATCGTGATCTACCCAGCCCGTACGAAGATCTGGTACCATGGGAAAGACGTATCCGAACCTCCCTCACTGCTCGGAGGCAGACTTTGGGGGTTGCGCAACACGGAGCGACGTGTGCGCAAGCAAGGGCGACACTGGCTGGCAAGGCCGAGCATGAGTCCTTTCAGATTGTGCAGTCCAGCGGCTTCCCTCTCCCAGTTATGGTCGACGGTATTTCCCAAGGCAGGGCACTCAAGCAGCATGGCACTCAAGCAGCATGTCATACGGATGCACTAGACCATGGTATCGCAAGTGGAGTATCACATGGGGGGGCTCAGCAGTATGCAGGGCGTGTGCTACAGACTGTGCATCCAGGCGACAGCTCAGGGATCATCTCGCCTACGACTCAGCAAGATGTTGCCTCTCACACCTCATGCACGGCATGCAGTTATCAGCCCTGCAGCGGAAGGGGGCAGCAGAAAGGAACCGCCAGCACGGCCAGGACCAGCGAAAGGCAGGCCTAGGGCGGTGGAGCGCGGCGCACCCAGCTATCAGCACAGTGTGCCGACGGTATGCTGTGGGAGTCTGCCTGAGTATGTTCACATTTGGCGGAGAATGCTGCCACAGAGGCATTGCGGGAATCCACCTACGAGGTCACTCCTGAGGCGCTTCTGACCATGACCGACGTTTAGTACGAACAACCTGGCCCACGGCCTCTGGAGGCCATCGAACCAGCACAGGAAAGATACTACCTCTTCCGACCGCAGGATGTTCAAGAACCTGCCACACAACAAATACCATGGAGGATGCAACGAGAAGAGGTATAGATACTGAATATGTATTGTGGGAGGAGACGCACAGGCGACATACAGCACCACATCGAAAGCATGAATGCGAGCGCGCACATCATCTGCACGGTACTGTCCATCGACATAGTAATCGACACGAAAAGATGCGACATCACGAGGCACGATACCTTCCAGATGTGGGCTGAACATATCAGAGCACGGAGTCTGGGTCACAGGGGGGGGGGGGCCATGTGAGACTTGGAGCGCCGCACGCTGGGAAGAGGGGACCCCCCCGCTCAGGACTCACCATGGAGCACGCACACACAGGCGCTCCAGCTCGAGGTAGGAAATAAGTTGCTCCACTTTCGCATCCTCCTCATGGCAGAGCATGTCAGACCAGGCACGTGTGCATGGCTGGAGCATCCACAGCCAGCAGCGTGGAAACCACAAGCAGTTTCCAGCTTCACGTGGCTCCCACTTAGGTCGATCGAGTGCTGCCCAGTTGCTAGCACCATTGATTTTGATCAGTGTACGCTGCAGGACGCACCGCCAGAGACCATAGGCAGAGCCCCCACCAAAATTCTCGCCCTGAGGCCCCCCAAGATTTACCAGTATCTCACAGCAGTCAATGGAGGGAGGTGCTGCCACGACAAAGGAATACATACCACGCCGCCAGGCAAAAGAGAAGATAACCGAACTTTCAGGACCTGCTCCAAAAAGACGCACGCGGACAGAATGTGTGCTGCGATCGCCCGAGCTATGCACGAAGCGGTACAGAGCGCATGGCCTTCAGATGAGGAAGAAGATGCCCCGCCTCCTCCCTCCACCTCGGATGTGACCCCTGGGGAGGGGCAAGACATTGCAGACACAGGGTTATCAGAATTCAGGGTCGAGCTGTCAGAGGACTTCTGGGAAGCCCCAAATTCCGCCCAGCAGACCGCGACATCCAGGAAACGCGGTGATCCAGAGGCGTGCCGTTGGACTCCTCCCTCGCCCTCGACTCCGGTTGGCTCCTTCCCGGCTCCCTGCCGAGGATTCAGGCCACCCTCCGCCGCAGGAACTCTCCCAGATGGGAGAGGAGGAGGAGGAGGAGGAGGAGCAGGAGGAGGAGGAGGAGGAGGAGGAGGAGATGGGAGCTGCCGCGGCAGCGGCAGGCAGCCGCCACGGCTCCATGCCCGACGAGGCCGGGGGCCCGTCTCTTTTTCCCCAGAGGGCGGGGTTCCCCCATCTCTCTTCCTGCCTCGCCTCTTTCGGCCCCTCCCCCACGAGTCATTCTCATCACTTGAAAAAATAACAGAGTACGAATATTCTTCCAATCTAAGTAGACGACATTGGGCATCTACATACACTGGACTAACCCTTACGATATTATTTGTAGCTTACTGTGCCGAAAAACTCTGTGACATATCTCGAATTCGAACCAAATCGAGAATCAGACCTGAAAACATAACATCAAAATACGTGCCTTCCCCCGCCCCCTGCCCCCGTCCTCACAGCTGATAAGCGGGCCAGGATAGCAGCCCACAGAGCTGCGGCCCAAGCACGTCGACACAGACGGGGGGGCCCCATGGGCCGATCAGCTGTCTTTCAAGTTCTGGCTGTGTGAGTTGACCTGGGCCCTCGCTTTCTGAACAGGTCCCAGGTTTCCTCTCAACAGAGTTTTCCAGAGTTGAGCACGTCTTCACGACACTGCCATCGTCCGCCGCCGCCGCCCACTCTCCTCCTCCTCCTCCGCCTCCTTTCTCTCTTGCCCTCCTCTATCCGTAGCCATTTTGGCTCAAGATGGTTGCACTCAGGGGGCTCCGCGCCTCCGTGCCAAAGTGGAAGCTGCTAGTCCGCAGCCAGTTCTCAATTGCTTTCAGGAGCCTGATCACCACAGGTTTCCTACTACATATTCTTTCTTCATGGGGAAAGGAGGGCGTCAGCAGTACAAGTCTTGGCAGAGCAGAGCACCGTGGTATCAATCTTCGACCACGGCAGGCGCAAGTATGTCTCTCAGCGACCAGTGGCCCAGTCTTGGGGATGGTAGCTCGAACGCATACGGCAATTTCAAGATGCAGCCTTGGCGACCAGCGACCCCTCGAGCGGATCTTCGACAGAACATCTCGCAGCGCATTGCTCTACCCAAGCTTGGACGAGATGCGACCTGGTGCAAAGTCTGTGGGAAGTTCTGCTACAACGACCTGCTGGAGAAATGCGACTACACCTGCCAGTACTGCGGCTGTTTCCTCAAAGGACGTAAGCCCACAGGAACAGGAGGTGGGGCACCGCAACCAGCAGATGCTCTTCACGGATCTGGGACTTCGGACGGAGAAAAGGCGGCCTTGGAGCGCATTATCGCTAAGGGAGGTGCAGCAGCTGAGCAGGCAAAGCTACTTCGTGATACCTTGGTCAATCAAATTCCCGCTGCCGCACCATCGAAGCCTGCATCCGTCAGGCTCACGGAAGCGACGCAGAAGGTTGAGCGGGCAGAGGCCAGCATGGACAAGGTGGCAAAGCGTGTACTCCGTCTCGAGCAAGAGCTGGGAGAAGCAATGGGATTCTACCGAGATTGTGCGAGCAACTTGGCAGATGCTATTGTGGCGCAGGAGCTCGTGGCCAAAGAGTTGGCGCCTGCCCCGCCTTCGTCTCCTTCTGAGTTGGGGAAGCTGGACGTCCGTCAGTTTCTGGACCAAAAGGCGGAGCTCAACCTCAGCTTCGGGGGGCTCTTCGATGACGTGGACCTTGAGGATAGCGATCGCGAGGAGTTCGAGCGGCGCAAAAGCAATTTCGAGACGGAGTTCCGTGCGGCTTTGGACTCGCAGTTCCGCAAGGTGGTGGAAAATTTGGCCTCGCAGCAGCAGAAGAAGGTGGAGGAGATCGGATCTTGGCAACAGGCCAAAAAGCGCAAGTCCAGTTCGTGCCCGCCTGCTTCGGCGGCCAATCCAGGCGAAGGAGGATCAGGTGAAGCAGGTGGCGCTGAGGCTACGGCGGCCACTTCAGCCACAGGCCCTGCGGTGGGGGCCTCTCCATCCACACCTTCGGCACCGACTCAGACAGGGGCGGCTGGAAAATCTCCCTGGGCGAGGGTCTCTCCTTTGGTCGACGGCAAGCAGACGGAGCTCCGCACCATCATGGACGAAGCGCTGGCCAGGAAGAGGGCAGGTGCAGCGGGCAGACAGTCGACAGTTTAGCAGCCCACCCTCGGCAGAACCCTGGCTCCCGCCCCGTCCTGGGCAGGTAGCAGCGCAGGGGGAGGCCAGTGAAGAGGGCACGTCGGGCAGATCTACTGCAAGTACGGCATCAACTTGGACTTCCAGGAGGTTATTCCAGGGGGTGGCCCCTCCTGGGACCCCTGGCTTGGACTTCGGCGGCACGAGTTTATTGCAGGGGGTGGCTCCTTTCGAGACCCCTGTCACGAACGTCGGCCAGGGCGACGACAGCTTACTAGCATACCAAGGGGTGGCACCTCCTGGGGCCCTTGGCACGGACGGGTATGACACGGTCTACTGCTCCATGAATAAGGCTGCATACCAAGGGGTGGCCCCTCTCGGGACCCTTGGCACGGACTGGGAGGCCTCGGTCCACAGCTCCACAGATGAGACGGCATACCAGGGGGTGGCCCCTCTCGGGACCCCTGGCAAGTTCGAGTCAGAGACGTTCTGCGGCACGCTGGGGGAGCATACTTACCAAGGGGTGGCCCCTCTCGGGACCCTTGGCACGATCTGGGAGGACCAGGTTTGTTTTTTCTGGGACGATCGTGCGTCTCAAATGGCAGCCTCTCTTGGGATTTCTGGTGGTGGTTATTTCAAGTACCCAGATTGTGGGATGCAGGGGGTGGCTTCTCTCGGGACCCCTGATTTGATGGCTGGGAATAGCAGTTCCAGTAGTTTTTATTCGCAGAGGGTGACTCCACTTGAGACCTCTGCTTGGCACTGGCATGGTTCGCAGTTTTCTCGTACTTTTGACAGCGTCAACTTTCAAGATTTCTGGACAGATCAGCTTGTGTCACGGCAGCACTTGGAGGCAAATAACCTTTTCGACCGCGGTACGGTTTTATCGCAGTCGACGGCGCAGGCAGATTCCCTCCAGGCGGGCGTCAGAATGCAAAATCCTGGACACCCAGGTTCGACGTCGCCACGTTCGTCGTTGCCACTTGCTGGGCTGGCTCGGGTTGGAAACTGGCCACCGAGTTCTGTTGGCAAGGAAAGGTCTCTGTTCGCGAAGCACGACAGTCTCCTTCTCATCGGGGGCACGATTGAGGCAAGTGGCTGGAAGGTTACCTGGGAGCTCTACGCTGACTTAGGCTCTGAACTTCGAGATCGACGGCCACGACCTCCTCAACTTCCCAGAGTGGATCGAGCCAGAGAGCGACGAGATCTTAGGTATGATATGACGGCTGCCGCACCCAGGTGGGTCCACGACATCAGAGGCGAGCGCTACAATTCTTTGGAACATTGGAAGGAGTGGTGTGTTCCGTACACTGTGGCATCGCTCTCACGTCGGTCTATGCGCGGCCTCCGTCAGAACCTGGAGAACTACTACCGCATGTCGTTGCAGGACATCGCAGAACATTTATGCACGCGCGCATGGGTCACAGCGGAGCCGCACAGGGCGTTCTTCTTCAACACGCTCAACTCCATCAGGAACCCGAGGCGCTACAGGAGATTCTTGCGATGGCATTTCGACGACCTTAGTGAGCTGCGCCGACGGTTTCGACGCCTTCTCGGGAATCGAGTTCCTCCAGATCGTTTCTTTCCTGACCAAGCTGACGGCGACATGGAGGACGATCAGGCTCAGGATCGAATGTGCATCTTCTGGGACTGGGTCATACAAGCTATTGTGGCCACTCAGGGTACCGAGAAGGAGGCGAAGGCTGACTTAGGAGATGGTGCACAGTTTCGGGTGTACATGCGTAACATGTCAACCTGGGGTACGTCGGCCAAGGCGCTGTTGAAGCGGTCCTACGACGCGGTCATCATCCAGGAGACCCACATGGACATGGCCGAAACCAATGACGTCTTGTTGGAGTTTGATAAAGCTGGTTACAAAAGTATGGTGTGCCCAGCGGGTGCTGAGTCGGCTATCTTCACGAAGAAAGCTGGTGGTGTCGCGATGGGCGTCTCAAAGAAATGGTCTTCTTGGTCACTCAGGCACCTGGCCTCCAACAAGGAGGAGCTACCTGGTAAGCGAGCAGATAAAAGCAAGAAGGACGGGGCGGCTCTTACCACTGGAGTTCGCTTTAAGGATTTGGTCGGGATGCAGGTGCTTTTGAAAGGTGCACATCTCACGATTATCGGAGGCTACCTATACAATGGCTTGGGCATCACGGGCGCCAGCGTGGAGAAACTTAGACATTTGGCCTCACTCGTTTCCTCTTTATCGACACCTTGGGTCATCTTATGCGACTGGAACTTTCCTCCAGATACCCTCCGCAAGGCTGGGTGGCTCAATTTGGTCCAAGGCAATATCTTGGTGGCAGACAACGTGGACTACACGTACACTGGTGGGCAGGGAACGCTCCTAGACTACGTTGTGGCCTCAGGGCCTGCCTTGGAGTACTTGGACCGCATTCACGCCGACACGGACTTAGTGGGCGAAGGCGGCAAAGCGCATTACGGTATTGTTTTGGATCTACTTCTGGTTGCCAAGCCAGCTGAGGGACGTACTCTTAGCCTACCAAAGGCTTTTGGCCCTCCGTCGCAGCCCAAGAAGCAGGCGGATCCAAACAGCAAGCGCTCGAGGAAGTTGGTGGTGGTGGCTACTCCAACGTCAGCGACACCGAAGATCGCCAAGCTTGGGGAGAGACGGCGGCTTGGTATCAAATCTCCTCCTCCATTCAATTTCTTGGGTCCTATGGATCTTGGGGGGGACTCGGAGAGCGATGAGGGCGAGCCTGACGACGACGAGCCTCTACCTGACGAACCAGAGGACCAAGATGAAGGCCTGGTCCCTCCTGGGGGTGGAGCTGGCTTAGGCGATAAGTGGTCAGTTGATCAGCGTGCCGATCTTTGGTCGCCCATCAGCATACCTCAGGATCATCGCTGGTCGGAACCGCCGTCGTACGTCACGGACTCCCACGCTTGGCGGCTTACCTCTGACAGTGCTGGCAAGTTGGGCATTGCCTTTGGCGAGTGGGTTGGCAAGGTTGAAGAGTTCTTCAGCCACCTGCTCGACGGTGAGGGTCTGGACAAAGACAGCAAGGCTCATCGAGGCCGAGGTCTGGCTCGACTTACCAGGACCCATAAAGTGGTGCCGCCCCCTCCCTTTACACGCACGCGGGATCCTGGAGTGGACTGGTGGGCCAAGATTGCTTTCTTGATGGGGGAGTTGGACAGGGCCAGTTCCAAGCGAGAATCGCCTCGGTTTGGGAAGTTAGTTACCAGACTCAGGGAGGCCACGGCTTGGGTTCCTTCTTCGACCCTGGCTTCTCTCCCGCACAAGGAGAAAACGGCTTGGTGCAGGAAGCTGCGGCAGCTCAACATCGCCACGAACGACACCATCAGGCGCTACAAGGACGAGAGCAGCAAGATTGCTGCCAGCTTGCAGCGGATGGAATGTTATTCCCAGTATCTGGCCTTCTCCCAATGGGCGGAGGAGCAGTACGTTGCCGCACCTGGGAAGCTGTTTCGACTTATCAAGGACAAGGCCACATCGAAGGATGAGTTCGAGGAAGGCCAGTTAATATCGTCGGACCCCCTCACGGCGATGGACATTCGGGCTAAGGTGTGGAAGAAGAAGTGGAGCGACCAGCAGCTCGACATCGACCAGGTCACCATACTCTTGGGACGTGCTAGGGCTCGCGCTCGTGAACACGCTTTCCCTCTCTTCGACTTGGAGACGCTGGAAGACGGCATCCGAAGGATGAAGGGCACTTCGGCGAAGGGCATTGAGCAGTTGGGGAAGAGGGACCTCATCTGGTTGCCCGAGCAAGGTAAGCAGGAACTGGTCCAACTTTTTCAACTTATCGAACAGTCAGTGGCATGGCCTCGGCAACTTACGGTGGTTCTGGTCACTCTTCTACGCAAGCCGAGCGGTGACGACAGGGCCATTGGTATATTATCGACCTTGGCGAGGCTCTGGTCGAGTTGTCGAGGCGAGTACCGTGCCAGCTGGACTAAGGCAAAGGCTGGGCATTGGGATGCAGCAGTGGCAGGTTCCTCAGCATTGCGAGAGGCCTTAGCTCGCAGTTACTTGGACGAGACGGTCGCGCTCACCACGATTAAAGATTGGGTGCAGGCCAGCGTGCTGTGGGACATTGAGGGGTTTTACGACGCTCTCAAGTGGCAGCTCTTACTGGAGACTGGTATGGAGCACGATTTTCCACCGTGCATCTTGGCATTGGAGATGATTTTACACATGGGAGTGCGTTTCCTCCGTGACAGTGGTTATTATTCTGATGCCATCATACCCGAGCAGAGCATGATAGCTGGACTTGGCGGCGCAGTGGATTTCTCTCGCTGTTCTTTGTACAATATCTTGGACAGAGTGGCGCAGGGGTCTCCTGGTGTTACGGTCAGGTCTTGGGTGGATGACGTTTCTCAAAGAGTGGAAGGCAGATACAAAAGAGTTCTCGGATTAGCCTTGCAAGCTGGTTTGACTTTTGCAAAAGGTTGCTCTGAGGCAGGCTTGGTGATATCGGCAAAGTCGACGATTGTTACCAACAATGCTGGGCTCGGCAAAGAGTTGAAACGAGGATTCGCCAAGGAAGGCTTCGAGGTCAAGATCGAGAGTGTCGCCACCGACTTGGGCATCGATCGAGGTACGGTTGGCTTTCGGCGTCCGAAGCAGGCTCAGCGGCGAAGAGGTGCTCAGCAGCGTTTCACTCGTGTCAAGCGGTTTGCTCAAGGTGCGGTTCGCAAGAAGATCGGCGCAAAGTTGGCCATGATGGGTGTTCTTCCGATGGCTGACTACTCGGACAAAGTCTTTGGAGCGGCCCCGTCGGTCATCAACAGCTGGAGGAAAGCTCTGGGACAGACCCTGGCAAAGAAATGGCCAGGTCGTTGCCTTACCACTCTTTTACAACTTCGTGTCGGCCGCAAGGACCCTCAGTACCAGATCGTGCACAGGCTGGTGGAATCTTGGATGTCCATTATCTTCAAACCAGGCTTCGACCTAGAGTTGGCACGTCGTACCTGGAGGACGGCACGAAGGCGAATTGACAGCAGGGATTTGAAGGACAGATGGAGAGGCATCACTGGAGTGGTATCTGCAACTATAGCCACGCTCTTAGACATCGGTTGGGACCCTGTGGGGCCTTGGGCATGGATTTCCGATCTTGGAGAAAGATTTATGGCCCCAGACCGCATCATCGGTCAAAGCCCCCAAGATATGAGTGCCCTCAAAGATGCCATCTCTGATACGATCGACCGTATGCTTTGGGATAAGGCTTCGCGGCATTGGAATGGCAAAGGTCTAGAAGAGGGAGCCGACGTTTGTGAAGCTCGACGTCACCTCACATCTTTGAAGAAGAAGGGCGAGTACGAGATGGCAGGCGCTATCGAGACTGTCATGACGGGAGCCTCGTGGACGCGCAGCAGGATCTCGACCCTGAGCAGCAGCAACTTGGACACCACCGATTGTCAGCGTTGCAAGTGTGGATTGGAAGAGACCGATTTGCATCGTAGTTGGTCGTGTTCTTGCAATGAGGTGTTCTCGTCGGTATCTTCAAACTTGCGTATCAGGGCCCAACAGGACTACGAGAACCTTCCCTGCCTGTGGTTGAGGGGCATACTGCCTGCTCCTTGGACCAAGGTGGACGAGCCGACAGACAACCCGTATGATGAGGTCATCGGCCATAAGGATGATCTCAAGGATCTCGATCATCTCTTGGTTGGCGGTGATGCTTCAGGAGGGCTTCATTCAGCAGATGCTAGGTTGCGGCGCATTGGCTGGTCATATCAAGTCATCAAGGTGACCTCCGACTCCGACCTAGACGTCCAGCTTTTGTTCTCCCGAGGCGGTGGCATCCCCAAGAAGCAGACCATCAACCGTGGTGAGACGACGGCCTTGCTCAGGGCCGCAGAAGATCTGCTCAACTTAGGGGTCCCTATCACCTTCGTCACGGACTCGGGGTACGTGGTCAATGGGCTCCGCAAACTGTCGCAAGGGCGGCTTCCGACTACGAACCTGGACCTTTGGCTTCAGGTCAAGGACGTGGTTGCGCAGTACCCATCTTTGCTCAGCGTCGTCAAGATCGAGAGCCACATGTCTGTCGAGGTGGCCATCCAAGCTGGGACGCAGATCGAACACTACCTTGCTAACGCCTTAGCGGATGAAGCGGCTGGTTACTGGGCAAATGTGGTGGCTGTTCCTAGTTCAGTGGCAGCGTCTCTGGAGCATGCGGAAGCAATCGGTCGTGCTGTACGCAAACACCTGGCCAAGGCTTTCCTGGCAGCGACGGAGGCGGAGCCCAAACGTGTCCGTCCGACAAGGTCCATGGCGAAAAAGTTCAGTCGTCGTGTCAAGTTGTCCGAGCACCAGGTCTTCACTGGCATGGGCACATCATTTCATTGTTCGGCTTGTGGTTGCAGCGCGAGTGGTCGCAAGTTGGAAAGATTCTTGGAGACGTCCTGTTTGGGGGGTGTTCTCAAGGGCCACATTCAGAGAGTGGGCGATGTTGGAGTTCATGTACAAGGAGTTCCGATTCATGAGTCCCACCTCTTGGGTTATTTCAAGGACCTGCAGATCCATGCATGTCTGCGCTGCGGCTGTGTCGGCAAGCATTTCCTGCGCAGGTTGGCGAATGTGTGTTCTGGTCAGCTGGGCCACTACGGACATCAGAACTTGGGCAAACTGGTCCGAGGCATTCTACCAAAGGGGCGTGTGGCATTTTGCAGCAAGCAGCCCGAGCATATCGGCACCTAATTTCGTCGTGCTGACCTTTCACTTCTTTCGTGGCTTCAGGTCTTGGGCGTCTATGTGTATCATGGTATAAGTCCTACGTATTTCGAGGTCCGCTTCGACATGCTCGTCAGCATCGGCGAGGCGCTTCTTTACCTGGGGGTGGCCCCTCCTGGGACCCCAGTGCGCCTTCGGGCGCCTTTCCTTCGAGGACTGCTTCGGCATGCTCGTCCGCATCGTCGAGGCGTTATTCCTGGGGGTGGCCCCTCTTGGGACCCCAGGTGGCTGCCGCATGAGTGCGGCCGGCCGTCCTCCCCTCCTTCTCCTTCCCCTTGTCTTGCTCCTCCTCAGGGCTTCGGTGCTGCGGTGGAGGGAGGCTGCGGGCCGCGGAGTACTACTCTTGCCCTCCTCTACCCCTCCTTTCTCTCTTTCCTCCCCCTCCTCTCCCCCTCCCCTCTTTCCTCATATCCCCAACCCCCCTCTGCGGCATTCAGAAGCGGAAGTGTCACTTCCACAGAACACCGAAAAAAGACTCCACTACCTCTTCCCCCCCTCCACCCCCTCCACCCCCTCCTCAGAGGAGGGAGAGGAAGGGGGAGGAGAGGTAGAGAGGTGTGAGCAGCAGCAGCGAGAGGAGGAGGAGGAGGAGAGGCGGAGGGCACCGGGAGATGTCGGGGAATTGGGTGATTGTCTTGTCCAACGCAATATCAACCAACACTGTAGGATTGGCAACCAAACGTGAGACGGAACACCGCCGGACGAGCCAGGATTGCCACACGCTGGGAGGGAGATGGGGAAAAAGGAGAAAGGGGAGGGGAGGAGGAGGCAGAGGAGAAGGAGGAGGAGGAGGAGGAGGGGAAACGAAATGAGGTGGAGGAGGAGGAGAAAGAGGAGGAGGACAAGGAGAAGGAAGAGGAGGAGAAGGAGGGGGTGGAGTAGGGGTCACTAATCGGGACCCACATTGCGCCGCATCGCCAATGCATCGCCGCCCAGATTAGAAGGGGTCGGAGGATCGCGCGGCATTGCCGATACATCGGAAATGCATCAGCGACGTCAGGATGGGATGAAAAACGGGCTCCAGATGATCCGGCGACACCATCTGATCTGGCCCTTTCGAGGCGGTCTGGGGGAGGAAAACGCCCCGAGAGATGCCAAATGGTAGGAGCCATGCGGGCGGGAAGTGTGGGTCCTCCTCCTCCTCCTCCTCCTCCTCCTCCTCCTCCTCCTCCTCCTCCTCCTCCTCCTCCTCCCTCTTCCCCTCAGTCGGGGTGGAGGCATCGCGGCCGGAGGATGGTGCGAACCCCCCTCAGTCACAAGATGGCATGAAAAACGGACGCGAGTGCTGTCCTATCCGAGGAGTTCAACGCTGGAGTGTTTGGGCAGGTGGTGATGACGGAGGGATTGGTTGTGGATGATGAGAGGTGGGCATTGGCTGGTGTGCGGGTGCAGGGTGGTGAGGGGTGATGGGCTGTCAGTGGTGGCGTTGTGGCCAGCACGCCTGGGCAACCCAGTGGGAGGACGATGGAAAAGCAGAGGCCCGTTCAACGGGCCTCTGCTTTTCCATCGTCAGAGCAACGGCGAGGGGAAGCACCGGCGGGCGAAAGTAGCCACTCCACCAAAAGGACTGGAAAGAGAGGGAAAGAGGGGGGAAAGAGAGAGAGAGAGAGAAGGAGACACTCCTTGGCCCATGCCGTCTTTCGGTCGAGCCCCTCTCGCAGCAGAGCCACGTACTCCTCTTGAGGGGGAATGCGCCGAAGAACCGAGCAGGAACATGCACACCATTTCAGAACGTCTTGCCTCATACATGGATCCACCGGGAGTGCCTAGATGGAAAAGGGCAAAGGGAAGGATGGAGAGGAGCAGGAGGAGGATACGGGAGCGAGAAGGGGATATAGACAGAAGCAGACGGCCGGGGGAAAGTGATGGCGGGGGGCGGTCAAAGGAGAGGATGGGAAGGGACACGAGAGGCGAGATTGGAGAGGAGAGGGGCAAACTCGGTGCGCTTGCGCAGTCGCAAGACTGGACCCATCGATGTTTGCACAGTCGGAGACGAGGGCCGTTTGCAGACTGTAGGAGGAGGAGCAGCAGCAGCAGCAGCGGAGGGGGGTGCAACGAGCGGCGGAGGAGAAAGGTTAGAAAGGAGGTGGGCGGCAACGACGAGGAAACAATCGTATCAATAAGTATGGCCCGCGCTGAGGCGAGAGCGGCATTCCGAACGACGGAAGCAACGCACTGATCCTGAAATGTGGCCGAAGCTGCACCGGGAGTCCCGCAGCAGGAGTACCATTTCGACGGACCGAATGCGCTCCGATTGACAACTCGTTTGGCTTTGCATCGCTTCATCTGTCATCGGGGGAGTCGCTGGAACAACAGAGAGACTCAAATGGCACGCTTCAGCGCTGCAAGCGGCCGATCCTCTTGCCAGCTGTTGTACTGGCTGAGCCGGAGGCCAAGATGTGAGTAGATCCTTGCTATCGGCAACAGCGGCGTGTGCCCAGCTCGCGGCATGAACCTTGTCGAAAGACACTGTGTAATACGACACGTGACCGATAAGAGGCGCCCGCGGTGCCGAGACCGCGTGTCGGCAGCCCTGGATCCCCTCGGCGCCTCGAACTGCACAGGAACGGGAGGACCTAGAACAAGAACCGCCTAAGACAGGCCCGATTGAACAACAACCAAAAAAACATGTCCGCCGGCCCCCCCTTGTTGGGCCTCCAGGCTATGAAGATCCCATTTCATTGGGCCCACTGTATTTGCGAGGAAGAGATTGAACACAGAACTTGCATATGACCCCCCCTGTCTCCCCCCTGGCCCCCAAAGGCCTCTCAAACCACGCCCCGGGCAAGGGTCCCAGTACTATTGCATTCCACAACCAATCACAATTACGCTGGGTCCGCGCTCCCAGGACCAGAATGCCTGTCAAAGTACGCTGCACCCGCGCTCCCAGCGCTGTGCCCCCTTGTAAACTACTCTCGGGTCTGCACTCGTAGGGCCATGATCCCTTTTGGATTACGCCAGATGCGCGCACGTGGCTCGAAAATGACACTGGATTCGAGACCCTCGGGGCCACGATCCCCTTTCAATTCACCGCGCCCGTGCTCGCAGCACACTGGGTCCGCTCCCAAGGCCACGATCCCTTGTGAATGGCTTTGGATTTGCGCTCCCAGGGCCACGATCCCCCGAACATAACTCTGGAACCGCGCTCCCAGGGCCACGATCCTCTGCCAAGTACGTCGGATCCTCGCTTTCAGGGCCACGATCCTTTTATGCAGTGCGAACGACGCACCTGGGGTGTGTCGGTAAAACTCCTGGCCGCGCTAGGGTGCCCAAGGATTCCCACCGGGGCGCCACCGCGTGGCCAGGAGGGCCCAAGAGGTCTCGAAGATGGCACCAGGTGGCCCCGAAGAGGGCGTCGAACGCCCAAGACCCTGCAAGGTGGCCACAAGGCTGAGATACCCACCAAGCATTGGAAAACCTGTCTTTTTGTTGTGTCTCGTGTATCCCACGCGTTGCCCCCAAGATGCCCAAATGTCGCTTCAAGACAGCCCCACCGAGATCGCCCAAGACGTCCTCAAGGCGGCCCCCGAAGGCCCCGAGGAAAGAGTGGACGAGAGTGGATGGGAAAGGAAGGACGGAACGGGGTTAGGGAGGACACAGGTGAAGCGAAAAGGGAGGACGCTCCGACAAACTCCGAAGCGCCCGACAACCCTCGACACCGTCCAGACACATCGGCACACACCACCGTCCGCCTCCACCCCCTCCATCCACAGTCCTTCCTCATCCCTCCTCTTCCTCCTCATCCTCTCGACGGCGGCCCCCCGAGCTCCCGACCCCATCCTGCGGGCCAGCTCCTCGTCGCGCGGGCTGTCTCTCCGAGGGCCCCAGGGGCCCCGAGAGAGCAGCCCTCGGGGGGCCGCGAGGCCAAAGACCGAAGAGGGATCACTACTGTCAGGACCTGATCGTCTCGCCTTTCCAGCCTTACTGTAGGCTTTCGGCCCCGAGCCACGTTGGATCCTGGTTAGGTCACCCCTGTCGGCGTGGCTCGTTCCCAAGGCTTGCAGAGCAAGATATTCGGTTGGCTGGCGAAAGAGGAGAGGGAGGAGGAGGAGGAAGAAGAGGAGGAAGAGGAGGAGGAGGAGGAGGAGGCCGTGTGGAACCCGAGATGAGCGAGGGGGGATGGGAAAGGTGGAGGGGGTTGGAGGTACAGCAAGCTGCGCATCTAGGCATGAGGGGGCCCAAACCCTTGGTGGTCTGAGGGCGGCCACCTGAAAACTCGCCGGGCAGTTGGAATCGCCCGCATCATGGGTGCCCCTGCTCCGCTCAACCAAATCCGCCGACCCTGTCGGCGTGTGCGAGGGGCTTGGCTGTTCGAGTCGTCGTCTTCGTCGGTCGTCGCCTCCGTCGTCCCCTTTCCCTGCAGCTTCCTTCTCAAGCTCGTGAGCGAGAGAAAAATCTAGCAGTGTCGTAATCGAGTCGAAGGGAAGCCCCTTCCCTTCGATTCCTTCCCCAGGGGGGGGGGGGGTCCCGGGGGGGGTCCCCGGGGTGGTGGGGAGGGGGGTGGGGGGGCAGATTCGTTTTTCCGCGGGCGGCCTAGAAACCTCGAAAACACTCCAAATGAGGTCCGAATGCCCAAGATGGCCCCCGAGACGGCCCAAAAGGGCCCCGAGTCGCCCCAAAAATCTGCCGCAAACGCCCAAGACAGCCCCAAGACCGTCCAAGAAGCCTCCAAGACGTCCCAGGCCCCCTCCAAGAGACCCCCAGGAAGCCCCAAGAGGCCCCCACGAGGCTTCCAAGCGACCCCTAAGACCTTCCCAAGAGGCCCACAAACTACCCCCAAGAGGCCCCCAAGAGCGCTCGTCGTCGTCGTCGTCGTTGTCGCCATTCAGGGTCGGCGGCACCGGCCGTAAGGCCTTCGCAATAGGCAGAAATTTGGGGGATGAGTAGGAGGGGGGAGGAGGAGGCAAAAGATAGGAGGGAGGATGGACCAGGGGCAGGAGGATGAGGAAGGGGAGGAGGGGCACGATGCGGACGGGGAGAGAGGGATGGCAAGAATAGGTGGAGCAGCAGCAGCAGCAGCAGCAGCAGCAGCAGCAGTACCATGAGACGCGCCTGCCATTCATGCGAGAGCCCCGTGTTGAAATGGAACTGCCTTGCATCCGTCTGGCGAACAACGTGGAATGCTAGAAGGTATGAGGACACACAACTAGAAATGGAAGAAGCTTGGCCCAACTATCAGACAACTTTCGAATACTTAGAAATGCGCAACGCGTGATGCGAGAAGGCATGAGGATACAGGCCAGCGAGGTGTCCAGCGAGATCTCCGTCTTGACAAAGGGCCGCCCCCACGTGTGCAACTATGGTGCACCTGCCCTCCAGCCGTCCAGCCGTTCCGTGAATGGCATGCGTGCGCACCCCTGGCCGTCATGGCAATCGAAGGAATGCAAGCGAAAGAGCAGCGTTGCAAACTCACAGTCCTATGCCCCTGTGTGTAACCGCAGCCGGATGTTCAGGTGAGTGCGCGCGGCGCTGAGGCGAGAGCCCGATTTTGAAAGCGATCCCCCTACATCATTGAAGCCGTACGCGGCCAGCGCCAAAGCGATAGCCCCATTTTGAAAACCACACCTCTGCGTCTGTGAAATTGGATACTTTGAAAATGAATGTGCTCGGTGCTTCGGCGAGCGCCCCATTCTGAAAACCAAACCCCTCCTTCATCCTTGGTGCTGCTACAGATGTCAAGCTTGAAAGTCAAAATGATTAAGAAGTCTCAGGCGAAACGCCTGGCCCGCGGAGAGGGCGCGCTCAGCGGGCGCGGCGCGGCGCGCGCGCCGAGGCAGCGCTGCCCCGGGGCAGCGCCGCTGCGCGCGCGCGTGCCCGCGGCACCCGCTGAGCGCGCGCCCGCTGCGAGGGGAGCGCGCCGCGCGCCGCGCTCCTCGTCGGAGCTGTACCGCAGGCCGGGCGGCGAGTAGTAGTAAAAGCCTCAGCAGCAGCGGCCCCACCCGGCCTCGCCCTCCCGGCCTCCCTCCCTTCCTGCTCCCTCCCCGGCCTCGCTCCCCGGCTCCCCTCCCTGCCTCCCCCCTCCTCCCTCCTCCCTCCCTCGCTGCCTCCCTCCCTCCGTCCGTCCATCCCTCATCCTAGCGCTGACGCTGCTTTCAGAATTCAAGCAAGCTCCAATGCCCTCTCCTCCTCCCTCCTCCTCCTCCCTCCTCCTCCTCCTCCTCCTCCTCCTCCTCCTCCTCCTCCTCCTCCTCCTCCTCCTCCTCCTCCTCCATCTCCTCCTCCCCCAGCTCCTCCTACCTCCACCATCCTTCCCCAGCTCATCCCTCCCCCCGCAGCTCCACCCCCCTCCTTCCTTTCCTCGCCCCCTGTCCTTCCTACTCCGCCCCTCCCTCCCACCCTCCCTCCCCTCCTCAACATTCCTCCTCCACCCCCCCCTCCTCACGTTGATCGGCCCTCGGCGACATCAACGGGCGCCGCAGAGGAGGGGCACCAGCACAAGAGAGGGGCAGGGAAAGAGGGGCGAGAGGAAGAGAAGGATAAGGACTACCTTCGCCTTCCAGGAGGGAAGCTGGCCGAGGGGGAGGGAGAAGGAGAAGTAAAGTCCCTTCCGCCCTCCAGGAGGAGAAGAAAAAGGACAACCTTCGCGCGCTCGCGCCGTCCACCTGGAGGCACATGAGGGAAGAACGCTTCCCCGGCCCTGACAACAAAACCGTGTCATGTTCGCGCCCCTGCGGGCGACATTTGGTATCAGCCCCTCTGGCTGGCTCCAAAACCCTGAGCACGGTAACATTGGCACAGATTGGGGCATCTGGTTTTGCGTCAGCCGGCTTCCACCAGCCTTTTGCCACCTTCCTCCGAGGACAAGGGGTCAACCCCATCGATCCTTCGAAGGCGAGGACCTTCCTGGAGCGCGTCCTCCGGGGGCGGGCCTCCGTTTCACCCGCGTGCTGCCGAGCTGCGGGGAGACGTCGGCCTCCGGGGGTGCCGCGCCGTGGCCGCCGCGAGGGCAGCAGCACGAGGTTCACGCGCCGCTCGGCTCGCACTGCTGACTCGGGCACGCGCGGGCGCTCAAGCTGATATGCCCTGTAAGCAGTTGGGCCCAAGCAGGGACGCGCATGGAGGAGGGAGGGGATCCCTCAGTCCCCCCAGCACGTCTCCCACCCCCTCCACCTCCGCCCGTTCCTCCGTCCCCCCCCCCTCCGCCCTCTCCCGAGGTGGAGGGGGAGGAGGAGCAGGAGGGTGGGAGGGGAGGGAGGATGAGGAAGAGGGGGGGGAGGAGGAAGAAGGACGGAGGAAGGAGGACGAGGAGCATGACCAGGAGGAGCAGCAGCAGCAGCAGCAGCAGAGGGCCTGGAGGGAGGCGAGGGCTCCGAGGCGGAGACCGGGATCCCCGGGGCAGAAGAGCTTCTTGAACTGGTCGGACGCCTCCACGGTGTTGATCCAGCAGTTGATCCCCGGTCCATCCTTCTTGGTCTGCTTCAGCGCCTCAGCAGGAGGCCCTCAGACCCGCGGGCTACTGGAAAAATCACGACCGGCGCTCCTGCCCCCCTTCCTGATCCGGGGGCCACAAGGGACCAGGTCGGTTCGGCTCGAAAATCGGAGCGGAAAGGTGGGCCAGTGCGCTCCATGAAAGCCGCAGCTGCCCCATTGCATTCGTCTCCCGTCCGCGTCTCCTCTTGCACTTAAGCCGCTCTCTTCTCAGGGTCCCCTGACGGAACTTAGCACTCGTCAGCGCACTTTCAAGCCGAAGGCTGCAGGGCCTCCGCACTTGTCAGCGCTCACCACAGGGACTCCGCTAACAGGTGCGTTGGGCAGCGATCCGGCGAGACGGGTCCTCTTCGATGCGGGCAGCGCTGCAATACCCGAGAGAGGCCCTGATATGGCAACTATCAGCGAGCTTCCAAAGTACTCGTTAGTGAGTAGCCCCCGAAGACGGCCCAAAGACGCCCAGGAGGCCACGAAGACTCCGCCCAAAGCTCTCAAGTGGCCCACGACGCGGCTGGTTCTAACACGCGACGCGCCACGAAATTCAATGCTATGCGCAGCGCCGCCAGGTTACCATGGAGACGCAAGCTATGTGCCGCCGATGTTCCCGTTAGCAATCATCAGATCCTAATTGTTCTCATTACATCCATGACCATCACCGTCACCATCAGCATCAGCATCATAATCAGTATCACCATTAAGACCATCGTCATCCTCAGCACCAGTCGCAGCATAATAATCGTCATCATCAACATCATCGCAATCAGCAGCACCATCTCCATCAACATCATCACAATTAATACCATCGCCAACAACAGCACCATCTGCATCACCATCATCAACATCACCACTGCAACCATCATTATCACCACCACCACCAACGTCCTCCTCCTCATCATCATCGCCATCATCACAGCTTGTCATCAACATCACCATGACCATCGTCATCATCAATATGGCCGTCAGCATCTTCATCAGCATCAGCATGATCATCGTCATCATCAGCATCATCCTCATTCTCATCATCAGTATCGTCACCACCATCAGCAGCACCACCATCATCATCATCATCATCAGCAGCATCATCACCATCATCATCATCATCATCATCATCATCATCATCATCATCATCATGATTAGCATCATCATCCTCATCATCATCACCTTCATCATAAGCATCACAATCAACATCACACGTGTCGTTGCAATCGTCAGCACCATACTCATCATCACCACCAGCATCATCATCATAATCACCAACATCATCCTCATCACCATCATCAGCATCATCAGCGTCATCATCATTAGTCATCACCATATTGGTAAACATCATCAGCATCACCATCATCATCGCCATCATCAACATCAGCATCATCATCATAACCAGAATCGTTATCATCATGACCATCATCCTTACCATCATCATAATCGTCATCATCAACATTACCATCATCATCATGATCAGCATCATCAATATCATTGTCAACATAACCATAATCATCATCATCATCATCATCATCATCATCATCATCATCATCATCATCATCATCCCCATCCTCATCATCATCATCATCACCATCATCAACATCATCATCATCATCCCGGTCATCATCAACATAACCATCATTGGTCAACACCATCGCGCGAATAAACATCATCATCAGCATCAGCATCACCATCATCATCATCATCATCATCAGCCGCATCATCATCATCATCATCATCATAATCATCATCATCATCATCATCATAATCATCATAATCATCATCATCATCATAATCATCATCATCATCATCATCATCATCATCAGGATCATCATCATCATCATCATCATCATCATCATCATCACCATCACCATCACCATCACCATCACCATCGTCACCATCATCATCAACAGCAGGAGCCGCATGATCATCACCAACACCATCACCACCACAATCATCATCATTATCTTCTTTCTCCTCATCTACCTCCCTCCCCCCCCCTTCTCTCCCCCCGTTCTCCTCTGCCCTGGGGGCCGAGACTGAAAGGAGGTCTGGGCCCCGCGCGTAGATCAGCCAGAATAGGTTGCTGGCCGTGCCAATGAACACCTGGAGGTTGGCCACGAGGAGGGAGGAGGAGCGAGGAGGGAGGAGGGAGAAGGGAGGAGGAGGAAGCGGAGGAGGAGGAGCGAGGAGCGAGGAGCGAGGAGCGAGGAGCGAGGAGGGAGGAGGGAGGAGACAGGAGGGAGAAGGGAGGAGGGAGGAGGGAGGGAAGAGGACTCTGAGGGCTCTGATGAGACCGGTCGTTCAATGACCGCTGGTATGCAAGCCGAGGCAACCCCAACGGGCCGCCATGCCGAGCACTGAGCCCGACGCAGCACTGATCCAGCAACCAAACGGGGCTGCCAGCAGCCATCCGATGATGGCCGAGGGGAATCCAGCGCGGCGACGAGGGCACGGGACCCCCAGCTGCCCGAGGGCAGCAACCAAAATCGAGCCGCGTCTGCAGACAGCACCGACGCTAGCACCGACAACGGTAACGGTAACGACCCCGGCATCGACGCCAGCACCGACGCCACCATCAACCCCAGCATCAACGCCAGCATCGAAGATGGCACTGACTCCAGCAGCGGAGCCAGCATCTACGTCAGCACCAACACTAGCATCGACTCCAGCACTGACGCCAGCACCCCGGCCAGTATGGACCCCACATCGACGGTGGGTTCGCAGACAGCACTGACTCCACCATTGAGGCCAGCAGCGACGTCTGTATCGACACCAGCATTGACCCCAGCACCACAGCCAACAATGACGCCAGCATCGACGCCCGCATCGGCGCCATCACCGAAGGCATCATGCAACTAACCTAGCCTCGAAGCCAGCATCGACGTCAGCACCGACACCAGCATTGACCCCAGCATCGCGCCAACACTAACGTGAACATCAACCCCAGCATCGACACACCAGCTCCGAAGACAGCGTCGACTCCAGCACAGAAGCCTGCATCGACGTCCGCACCGACGCCAGCATCGACCCCAGCATCGATGCCAGCGCCGACGCCAGTATCGATACCAGCATCGGCTCTCGCATCGAAGATAGTATCGACTCCAGCATCGGAGCCCGCATTCATAACAGCATCGACATCACCGCCGGCTCCAGCATCGAGCCCAGCCCTTACGACAGCATCGACGCCAGTATCGACCCTAGCATCGACGCCAGCATCGAAGACAGGGTTGGCATCGACATCGAAGCCATCATCGACGTCAACATCGATTCCCACACCGACGCAAGCACCGACGACAGCACTGACCCCAGCTCAGGCGCCAGCGTCGGCCTCAACACCGAAGACAGCATCATCCCCAGCATCGGTGCCAGCGTCGACACGAGCATCGCCCCCAGCATCAACGTCATCACTGACGCCAGCACCGACAAAAGTACTGGTGTCAGCGTCGAAGACAGCATCGACTATGGCATCGGAGCCCGCATCGACACCGACATCAACCCCAGCACCGAAGCCAGCTCTGACCCCAGCATCGACGTCAACACCGACACCAGCAACGACCCAGAAAGCCCGACGAGCGGCCCCGCAGCGGGCCGGGCGCAGGGCTCCGCACGAGCCGCCCGACGCCCCACTCGTCGCCCCTCCCAACGACCCTCTCGATACCTCACCGACGCCAATCCTGACAATCCCCAAGGCCACCGACAGCCACCACAGGCGGCCAGTGCCGGCCACTCCGAAGACCACCGCGACGGCCACCGGCAGATACCACAGACGGGCACTGACGGCCAAACCGACGGCCATGGCGCCAACGCCCACCACCAACCACAGGCACCCGACGCCCCACCCGACGCCCACCACGGAGGCGACTCGGTGCACAACGGCCAGCCCGACGTCCGCTCCAACGTCGTCTCTGACACCGGCGCCGACGACGAACCCGACGCCCCCCTCGTGACCCGCAGCCCCGCCTGGCTCCCGAGCCTGTCACGACTGCTCGGTCCCGAAGCCCCACCCCGACGGAGAAGCAACACCACAACAAAGGGCTGCGACCTGCAGCACCGCGACGAGGTCCACGACGGCGATCACGAGCACCACCGCCAAGACTTCGACCAGCGGCACCATCATCACGACGAGTGCCAGGACTGTGACCACCAGCCGAACTGCCGCCACCACAACCAGAAGCACCACCTCGGCCGCGACCAGCAGGCTCGCAGTCCGAAGCGCGGCCACGACCGGCAGCACCACCACCGCTACGACCGTGACCAGCACCACCACCCCCGCGACGCGCCTTCCAACAGAGGCCAGGCGTGAGGCCCAGCGAATAGCGCCGGACATCCACCCGACGCCACGACGCCGGTCCCGACGCCACCAATGCAAGCCGAGCACCACAGCCACGCCCTTCCCGACGCCCCGCCCGACGCCCTCCCCGACGGCCTCCCCGACGGCCACCGACAGGTACCACGACTACGACAGGCGCGCTGCGCCAACCATCCGCACGACGTCATGACCCTGCGCCGGCGAGAACATGTCCCGCAAAAAGAAAGGAGCTCGGGGTCCAGGAGGGATGCTCTTATTCTTGTCCCCGAGGATATCGATGCTAGGATGTCTGGATCGGCCTCTCCATGATGGAGCCTCCATAATCCGTCTTGAGGGCCTGCCCTGGAGATGTGGGAAGAGCACAACTCCTCTGAAATACGATAGTGGAATGGTACGTTGGTCCCTCTCGGGGCGCCTCCTTGGAGATGTCGGACAATCGCAAATCCGGTGAAATACTGTGGCGAAGTGGTGCATTGGATCAGTTCGGGGGGCCTCCCTAGAGGCGTTGGATGGTGCTGTGCACGATGTGAGGATCAGAGCAACGGTCGGAATTTGGGGGGTCATAAGAGAAAGTTCGGCCTCCCCGCCTGTGGTGGATTCTCAAAAATAAGGAGCTCCAGGGATACTCAGATATAAGGCTTAAATCAGGGGGACGTAAGACCTGGGGACAGGGGACTCGGAAATCCCCGACGAGGTCGTCAAAAAATGTCGAGGCCGAGCCTGCATTTTGACGAGGCCTCCCGCTGCAGACATCCCACGAAACTCCTCCTCGTCAAAATCCGAGGCGCGGTCGTCAAAAAACGATGGCGAACCCGAGTCCTGGCAAACCCGGGTCTTACGCTCCCCCGATTAAGGGGGGGGTACTCTGTGTCATCGTCGGGCTGCGGCTACCCCACGCTCTGCCTGACGCCCTCCCCGGCTCCCCTTCCGATGCCCTATTCCGAGCCCCACCCGACGCCCCACCCGACGCCCCACCGAGCGACCAGCAGCAGCACCACGAGCACTACGACTGCGACTGGCAGCAGCACCACGACTGCCACCAGAAGCACTGCCCCCGAGGCGCAGACCAGCACCACCACCACAGAGGCTGCGACCAAAAGCGCCGCAGCGTGCACCGCGCCTGCGACCAGCAGCATCGCGACCTCGACTGCGACCAGCAGCAGCCTCACGATGCCACGACTCCGACCGGCAGCAGCACCACGACGACGCGACCGCCACCGCAACTAGCAGCATCACGACTGCCACCTGCATCCTGCCCATCCGCCCTCGCCCTTGGGCCGCGCGCGGCTCACGGCTCCCGGAGACGAGGACGAGGCCCCCGTTCACGCAGCGACCGGCCTCAGGGCAGCACACGGGCTGCGCGGCATGCCCGGCAGTACCCACCGGCCCCACCCCGAGACAATCTTCGCACCTCCGTTTGCTGCCCGCCTACCCGCTGGCATCGAGCCCAGCCACAGTCATGGCTTGCGCCACACCCCCTCTCCCTCCGACTCCGACGAGCCGACCCCGTCCGCGTCCCCAGGCAGGAACTGAGTTCATGCGGAGTGCATTGAACTCCGCATCGTCCCTTCCGCACCTGCCACAACCCGACGCCCTCACACATGAAGCTCCACGACAACCTCTTCAGCCGGCCCGTATCAGCAGGATGCGCGATAAGGATCCAGGATGCAAGGGCCTTGGACGCCCGTGTCGAAGCTCTGCGAGCGGGGCGCGGCCAGCAAAAGCGGCCAAGGATGGACCGAGGAGGCAAGGATGCACGGGTACCCTTGGGAAGGTTGCCCATACCTACCATGTGGCAAGGACAGACCGAGGAGGCAAGGATGCAAGGTTACCCTTGGGAAAGTCGCCCATCCTTACCATGCGGGTTGACTGTACCACCACTGCCACCACTACGAGGCCGTGGGCCGTACTCCCGCCGTGCCTGCACGGACCGCCTCGGCCTCGAGGCGAGGAACGGCCCGGCAGGGGCCGCCAGGACTCAGGACGCTCTCGCCTGCACTGCCGCCGGCCCGCGGCTGCAGCGCCCCCGGGGGGGGGGGGGGCGGCGGGGCTCCCCCCCCCCCGTGGGGGGGGGGGCAAAGGGGAGACGACGCGTGGCGCGCCAAGGGGGGCCACCCCCCGTGCGCGGCAAGGCCAACTTCTCCCCCCCACCTCGTTTCCCCCTTCGTTTCTCCCTCCCCACCCCTTCGTTTCCCCCTTCCTTCCCCCCCTCGTTTCTCCCTCCCCACCTTCGTTTCCCCCTTCGTTTCCCCTTCCCCCCCCCCCCCCCCCCGTTTCCCCCCCCCCCCCCCCCCTCGGTTCCCCCACTCCCCGCCGTCCTCCTCCAGGACTCCTCTCTTCCCCCTGCCCCCGCTTCCCCCCGGGGGGGCTCTGTCGGCCTCTGGGTGCTCGGGGGGGCCCCTTTCCTTCCCCCTCCCGCCTCCTTTCCCCCTGCGCCGATCCGTGCATTCGGGCTCCCTTCGTGCTCCTCGCTCGGGCCTCCGTTGCGCCCCCCCCTCCCTCGTCCCTCGCCCGCCCCGCCCGCCGGTGAGGAGATCGGCCCATTTTCGGAATTGCCCCGCCCAGGGCGCCAGACGGCGCCGCTGGGTGGGGGCAGTGGCAACGTCAGGGAGACACATATGCCATCAGGTGCAAGGTGCCAGGGAGAGCAGGAGGAGGAGGAGGACCAGAGTAAACCCAAGATAGATCGACGACGCTACACCACATCCTCTCGCCCCCAAGTCCCCTCATTATTGGCCCCTGCAAGCATTATTGCTTGCTCATTTAGGGAAGAGCCCCCCCTTGAAAGACGAACGCACAGGGGCGCGCAATTCAGGCGGGAGCTACTTCTCGAAAGCAACTGCCCTCCATCTTTCGAGTTATGAGGAACTTGACACGGCGGTGCCATCAAGAAATCCCCCGCGGCCGCGCCACTTTGGAAAGGGGGCGCCCTCCATCCGTGGCACTGCTGCGCATTGTTGTACTTGTGGTCGGAATCCGCGTCATGGAATCTCCGGCGGCAGCCCGGTTTTGAAACTGTGGCGGCGCAAAGGCGAGAACCCCATTCTTGAGCGGACCGAACGGACCGCCCTCCATCCGTGCAACTGTCAGCAGGAGTTATGTACAAGGAGGGGTGGAGGAGGGTGGCGAAGAGGAGCACGAGCAAGGGGACGAAAAATCAGGACGGGGGAGCCAAGGAGGGGGCGCCTACCTTGTTTACCCAGCAGGGCAACAGCGAGAACACTTGTGGATGATAGCAGTGGCATGGGGCATGTGGAGAGGAAAAGTTCACACAATCACCAGGCATCCACAGTCCGACTTTCGGGCCATGCCTTGGCAATGGTAGAACCAGGCCTCAGACGACTCGATTTGCTCGAGATACTGGCCCTGGCATCTCTTCACACTTTCCCAAAACTGTTTCCATCTTATTTTTGTTACGGTCTCGGAGCTGGCCTCCAGGGACGTGCCCGGGCCCCGGCGTCTAAGGAGACACCCAGAGGCCTCCCAGGGCATCTGGGGGCATTCGAACGCCCAAAGAGGGACCAGACACGTCCAAAGGACCTAAGCCCTCAACCCCGACGGCGCGATTTGTTCGCAACGTGGACCTCGGAGGTCTGGACCTCTTCCCTGGGACCAGTTTTCATCCTCAATCACCCAGTCATTTTCCGACGGTCCAAGAACCGGGAGAGGGCCCCTGGAAGCCGACGAAGGTCAAACCCGTCTTGGGAAACGGACGTATCATCCTCAACAAACTCTTGATGGCCACGGGGCCCAGCAGGGGCCCACAGCAGCCGAAAGTCGCCAAGGTCCTTCCGCCCTTCTTCTTGTTACTTTGCGACGCGAGGGGGTCTCCTCCTCCTCCTCCTCCTCCTCCTCCTCGTCATCCTCCTCATCCTCCGTCTGGGCCTTGATGGGGGGACTGTATACCTGCCCCTCTCCCCGCGCTGAGAGTGGCTTTCGGGAGCCGCTGCCCTCGCTCGCCGTCGCGGCCCCTGGGGCCCGTGAGGGGGCACGTCAGTCAGCCACGGGCCTGGGCCCTCAGGTCCAAGGAGTCCAGGACGGGTTTTCACGCCACAACAGTCGAGATCCAGATGGTTGCGCACAACAACGGCGATGTGGTCCACCCGATGGGCCAATAAATGAAGCCTGCTTTTCTCTGGACGGACATAGGACCATTGTTGGAGGGAGGAGTGCATGCCTCAATAGACCCCCGAGATGGTCCCAAGAAGCCGTCCAGCAGGCCCATAAGAAGCAGCCGAGCAGGAAGGGGAGGGAGGAGTTTGGCCTACGCTGGAACCTCACAGCGAAGCGCCATCCGAGAACACACATACATCGGGCCCCACAACTGTCAACAATAATGTGAGGCCGCGGGGCGCGGTTGGGTCGTCAGGCAGCTCGCGTCCCTCTTCCCCCCGCCTCATACCTCCCCCTCCTTCCCCTCTGCACCTCCTACAAACACTCTGAGTCTGTATATGTTCCCTCTGCCCTCCTGCCGATATATCAACCCTTCTCATGGCAAAGGGGAGGAAGCCAACCACCGCCCATCCCTAGACATCGACGCCATGAGTTGTTCGCAAAGTGTGGGCCCTCGGACCTCTCGACGAGGCCCAATGACCAGTTTATGATCCTAGGTCGTTTTTGCTGGTGGCCCTGGGGCCCAAACAGTGTCCAAAGGCCCAAGCCAGGGAAGCGACAACAAAAAACATCGAGTTCTTCGTCGCGAAGGACGCCCGAGTCTGCCGACCTCGCTCTCGTAGGCGGCGAAGATGTCCGCCAGGAGGTCGTAGGTGACTTGGGACTTTGACTGGGTCTCGTCCACGCTGCCGCGAGCGACGTCCGCCCACTCCCTCGTCGGGCCTCGGAGCGTCCCAGCACGTGCCTATTGCCTCCGCCTGTGTCCTCCTCTGTGCTCCTCTGGCCTGGTCCTCCCCCTCCTCTTCCTTCGCGTCCTCCTCCTCTTCCTCCGCCTCCTCCTTCGTTCCCTCCTCCTCCTGTTCCTCCTCCTCTTGGTCCTCCTCCTCCTCGTCCTTCTCCTCCTCCTCATCATCATCAGCAGCATCATGATGATGATGATGATCATCATCATCAGCAGCAGCATCATCATCATCATCATCATCATCATCATCATCATCACCAGCATCATCATCACCCATCATCATCATCATCATCATCATCATCAGCAGCAGCAGCAGCAGCAGCGGCATCAGCATCATCATCGTTATCACCACCAGCATCAGCATCATCATCATCATCATCATCATCATCATCATCATCATCATAATCGTCGTCATCATCATCGCCATCAGCCTCATCATCAGCATCATCATCATCATCAGCATCATCATCATCATCGTCAGCATCATCATCAGCATCATCATCATCAGCATCATCAGCCTGAGCATAATCAGATTCAGCATCATCGCCAGCACCATGGTCATTATTAGCAGCAACATCATCATGAGCAGCATCATGATCATCATCATGATCAGCATCAGCAGCATCGTCATCAGCAGCAGCAGTGGTCTCATCATCATTATCATCATCAGCAGCAGCAGCACCGTCATCACCATCATCAACAACATCAGCATCATCATCAGCAGCATCACCATCATCTACAATGTCATCATCATCATCATCATCATCATCATCATCGTCATCATCATCATCATCATCATCATCATCATCATCACCATCACCACCACCGTCATCGTCAACAACAGTACTACCATCATCAACAATGTCGATATCATCATCATCATCACCATCATCGTCATCATCATCATCAGCATCATCATCATCATCATCATCCGTATCATCATCATCAGCATCATCATCATCAGTATCAGCATCATCATCATCATCATCATCATCATCACCGTCATCATTATCATCACAACATCATCATCATAAGCAACATCCGCATCAGGATCCTCATCCTCGTTCTCATCATCATCCTCCGCCGCCTCCCCCTCATCATCGGCATTATCATCACCGTGTTTGCCGTCGTCGTCAGCAACATCCTGATCCCCATCCTCATCATGTGTCTGGCGTTATTCCCCTTTGTTCCTCTTCGTCTTACCAGTTCCTCCTCTCTTCACTCTCCTCTAATCGCTCTCTCTCTCTCCCGCTCGCTCTCACTCTCTCGCTCGGTCGATCTATCGATATATCGATCTATATATCTGTCGACATATATATATATACATACATACATTCACTACTGCGCTCTGAGGCACGAGCTGGAGCGTCCTCAGGTCCGTCGAGCCCTCAGTCCCCAAAGATCGACTATAACCATAACAGACCCACAATTCTCAACTTTTGTCTGGGGCTTCCTGCGCGTGTCCGCGTAACCTTTCTGGTGCCAAGATGACCCAAAAACGGGCCAAGAGGGCGCCAAGAGGCCCCCGAGACGTTCCAAGATGGCTCCGAATCGGCCCAAGAGCGATCCAGTATGCACAAGATGGCTCAAGACAGCACAGGAGCCCCCCAGGACGCCTCAAGAGGGCCGCAAGAAGCCACCCAAGAGGGCACACATAGGCCAAACTCTCGGATAGTACTAAAATGTTGGAAGGATGTTGTCGCCTTTTTGAACTTCCGACCGACCACGACGGCCCAAGACGCCCCAGAGATCGCCCCGAGACGGCCCAAGTGGTTCTGAAGAGAGCCCCTTGACGGCCGAAGAGGGCCCCAAGACGGCCCAAGAAACCACCAAGACGTCCTACTACGGTCCCAAGAAGGGTCCCAGAGGGGAAGGCAAACATCGAGCCCCCCGCCCCGAGATGGCCCCCGAGACCGCCAGCAAGCCCCAAAAGCCCCCCCACACGCTCCAGGAGGCTCCCACGAAATCCAAATCAAGCCCCAAGAGGCCCCCAAGAGGCCCCATAGCGGCCCACACGACACCTCAAAACCGCCTCCAAGAGGCTTCCGTGAGGCCCCCATGAGATCCCAAAGGCATCCAAGAGGCCTCTGATCCACGACGAAGGCACGGTGGCGGGATGGCCCGACGGTCACTAGACACAAGTGTGCAACCATGTATATATGTATATATACACATGTACACATACATATGTAGATTGGTATACAAATCGACACATTCACATACATGCGTATACGTACGTGTGTACATGTACCTACATACATACACATATATATATATATATATATATATATATATATATACATACATACATATATATATATATCCGTATACATATATATATATGCACATATGTACAGGTATATATGGATGTGTAAACATATGTGTACACATGTATATAAATGTGCATATATATATGTATATATATGTAGATGTATATCGATCGTAAACAGGGAGCACGCACGGTCCTCCAGAGGTGGGCCCATGCGGGCGCCGCTCGGCAAATCCCGTGAATATGGCAAGACCACTCCTCCTAAGTGGGTGAGCGGGGCGGCGGAATTACACGAATGGCAATGCGCATGTGCAATACCAGAACCAAAACATCCACGACGCGTGCACTAGGGGCGAGATCGACACCGAGACCGGCAGCAATCGAGGGCGGTGGTGCAATGCCCCTCGGATAGGCCTACGACCAAAGTAATGGACACCGCAAGCAGTGCATGAATTTGCCCAGCGCTGAGGAGTCGGCGGCGCAACATCGAAACCAACAGCGAGCGGTCCCTCCTGGAGTGCGCAGCCTGGCTGCTGTCAGCTAAAGGCCGACTGCCACGGGGGAGCAGCCTGACCGACGAGGTCCCGAAGAGGAGGCCAGCAGCCAGGCGCAACCTCGATCGCCCACCTGGCGCGAGGAGCGGAAGGGAGCCGACAACAGTCTCTGCAACCGCATCCGCGAAGACGGCGCACTCCCCGCCTCGCGCGGATCGCGCAGAACGGCACGCGCAGGGCCCGCGAGGGCGGGGGTCTTCACGTCGGCCGCAGTGGCCTGCTGCACGAAACCGCCGTCGGCGGCCTCCAGGAAGGAGACGAACTACTTCGTGTGCCAGGAAGCTGGAGACAAGTCCTGCAGACCAATGGCGAAGAGGGATCCGTGCCCCACCACCTGACTGCCCCACAGCACGTGGACCTCGCTCCACCCCGTCACCGCGCAATTGGCCACCCACACGAGCGTCACTGCCCACTGCCATCATCGAGCGAGGTATGTTTGCAGACCACGACCCCAACGACCTGAACGGATCTCGACGATTGCGGCGTCATACGCCATACGTTGACAACCCATGCTTCGCGCGCGAGCAGAAGGCGAGGCGCGGGCCGCAATTGCGGTGGAGATCCGAGAACTGGCAGGACACTCTCGCTGTAGAGGCGAGCCGAAACGGATGCAGGGGCACCAAACAAGGCGAAGTCGAGGACACGAACGACGTACTTAGTCGCCGCCTTGCCCCAAAAGCCAGTTTCCGCGACGCCGCCTGGTCCTGCGATCACACCGAAACACTCGGCCTTCGCGTCGATAGCGAGGCCACTCCAGTCATGCCACGTGCCGCGCAGCATCTGTCGATTGCGCGACGCCCGCACACGCGCACAAACACGCACAAACACGCACACACAAACACACACACACACACACACCACACACACAACAACAACAACAACAACAACAACAATCATTTTACCCGAACGCGTGGTGTTCTCCCCAGTGCCAGGGTTTTCATACGACACCAGGCAATACCCCCACTTCGTGGGGGGGCATTACAAGCTCTACCAAATATCCAAACGACTCTTCGCGACCACCCAAACCCAGCTTCCCGCCCTATGACGTTGGGACACTTCACTTCGTGGCGTGCGGACGACCGTGGCTACTACACTGGCGTGGGGTACACACCCACAGAACCCAATGGTTTTTGGAGATTTCGGCGTGCGCGCGCGAAGAAAAAACGAATGTGTCCCGCATGGTATTATTTGACAGGGATGATGGCCCTGGCAGGTGCGCAACCGTTGTCGCAGAAGTTCGAAAAAGTTGCTCGCAAAAGCCCGTTTGACAGAAATGTTTAAAAAGTGTTGGTTTTCCTACGAATCCGCAAGAGCGCGCGGGATGAGATTTTGACATTTTTTTGTTGAAAAACCATTGGTTTTTTGATGTTTTTATGTTAAAATCGCTCCGAACACTAAGCTTTTGGAAGGATTTCGTCTTGCGCGCGCGAATGTCCACTTTACCTTATTTTTTGCAAGGGATTCTTGAAATTTGATTATATTAGAACAAGAAATGTCATTTTATAGTGTTTTTTGCAAGGGAAAGCGGATTACAACAAAACAACCGGATCTTGATCAACCCGAATTACCTGAGGCTTCCTCACGAAAATGATGAAAATGTAGCTGCGGCCTAGGCGCGGCGGGGGGGCGCGCACCAGGGGGCCCAACAATAATTATTCTTTAGAATTAATAATGTTCAAACAACAACAACAACAACAACAACAACAACAACAATTACTAGCACGTGGGGACACTCCGTTCTCACCAGTGCCAGGGTTTTCATAGGAGGCGGGCAATACCCCCACTTTGTGGGGGGGCCGGTTCAAGCTCTACCAAATTTCCAAACGACTCTTCGCCACCACCCACACCCAGCTTCCCGCCCTATGACGTTCGGACACTTCACTTCGTGGCATGCGGACGACCGTGGCTACTATTCAGGGCCCCGCGGCCGACGACGACGGCGTGCGCGCGCGAAGAAAAAACGAATGTGTCCAATATGGTATTATTTGACAGGGATGATGGCCCTGGCATGCGCGCAACCGTTGTTGCAGAAGTTCGAAGCACGTGAAAAAGTTGCTCGCAAGAGCCCGTTTGACAGAAATGTTGAAAAAATATTGGGTTTCCTCAGAAATCCGCAAGAGCGCGCAAGATGAATGTTTGAAACTTTTGTTTTGAAAAA